TTTTTTTCTTTCCCCAAAAATAAATTTGGTGAACTTATCATTTAAAAAAAAATGAAGTTTTGTTTTCAGAATCAAATACTTCAAAAAAATAAACACTAAATTGTATTGTTATATTCTTCTCTCTTTTTAAAAAAAAAAATATTTTTTAATCCTCCATCCATGATGGGATCAAGAAATTGAAAACTATAGAAAGACAAGTTTGGAATTTTTTTTCTGAAAATGATTTTCATTTTAATTCTTTCAGGTTTAAAACTTTACACGTATATGAAACTTAACACATAGTTGTCACTGACTGTGTTATTATTGAAATAGTTGAAGAGCATTTTATTGCAAAATGAAACATATGTAAAGGGTAGATATAACATTTGCAGCATAAAAAAAACGACATGGTCAAATTTACACGAAGTACTTCACTTGATTGTTAGGGAATGACACAAAGCTTAGCATCCTGTAAAATCATGGCTCCTGGTGTGCTGACATTTTCAAGGAAAAATTGTATTTTTCCAACACTGGTTAGCCAACCAGCAGTGGAAAAAATGGCTATAAACACAGTTCCTAATTTTTCAATATTTAGTTATTTCGCGTTATCGTTTGCAATTGATTACACACTTGGTGCTGGTGAAGGGTCAAGCCTTCTAGACTGATTCTCTGACCTTACAATTCCCAAAGTCTACAAATTGCTCTGCTCATCTTAAGACTGGTTCAGGCAACCAGACTTCAAGTACATGATTGGTTTCTCGGTTGCCAGCATATACAAGCCAAAACCGTGAAGCCAGTCATTTGAACACTATTTGCCATAACATACTACCTAATCCTCCAAATCGATTTATTTTGAAAAAATGCAGCAAAGGCAAATTTTGTACATCCCTTTAAACCAAAACATTTCACGCATGTCAGTACTGCATGCATACAGTTTTAAAAACCAATGATAAGGACTAGTACATCCTCGCTGAACATAATGTAACGCATCAGCACCTGGAACCATCTTGTCTGAGACTGATTGCCATGATGAAACATTCACAGCATGTCCTCCATGATCCCAGCTGAATCAACTACTGTTCCTATACTTGCACTAAGCATCTTGTTACTCAACTGTAGATACTCATCATGTGTCATTGTCGTTGGTTCTTTGTCTTAGCTTGTCTTCCTCTCTGCTGTATCGGACAGCTGAGACCCCTTGTAGCGCTGCTGCTGTTCTGTCAGTGATCTCTGCTATGGCGGCTCAGTCATCAAATGAATCCTGATGATTAAACACATCATAAAAAAAAAAATTCTGAAATTGTTGTTTTCTACTGACCTTTTAATCTTGCAATGTGAATCTTCGTTTTGAAAAAAAAACAACTCACTGACATCTTTGCATTATTCAGACTAAGTTTTCCACAGGGACAGTACATATATTCCAGGTTTTTAGTAAAAATACCTCCATCGAGCTTCATAAACAGCCCCAACAACTTCAACAAGCATGATGCTCAAGTTGCTAATAAGAGTTGCAATAATGGCGTCAGCTATTTGGTTCAAATCCCATTCAAGACAGCGTACCTATTTTTTTCCTCAAAAGCTTCCTGAAAGCCCGGACGCACCCACTCATTTGATCAACTTTTTGGAACCGAAATATAAAATCTGTGTCGCAACATAACTTTGCAGTCCTATAATAACCCAACTACTGGGACCTGGCATGGGAGTGCTCTGAACATGCAAAACACAGTATTGATGAGAGTCCCAAATTTTCGGACAAGCATAAACCTGCGAAAACAATTTTGCGACCTGACACTGCCGTTTTCTTCATATATCATCTCAATGAGGACAGTCATTGCAAAAATGATGATAAGACATGAATCTAGGACTAAGAAGCAACTTCCCAATTTCAATGTTAGGAATACTTCAATTTTCTTGACTCACCATAGACTTTTGTACCGCTGAAGTGGCGTCCAGGTTGCAACATTCTTTCCATGTCTGCTGCCCATTGGAGATCAACCTGCTATCTGTACTGCCATCAATTGCATCATATGCTGCATTCCTCTGACTCTGTGTCTTGCATCACTGGCTGCTCATGGCATGCACGTCATCAATTTCTATTAAAAACCACAGGATACAGACAGAAGGCACTTGTATTACATAAATAAAGCCACAGTGAGTTGCTATTTGCTGGGCGTGTTTTCTTAGTTGAACCTAGCCCGAAAATTAGGGACTGTCCATGCAAACTGAAGTCAAAGTCTAGCCCGACTGCGTCTGGCCGTACAGTACTATCGCAAGCTCTGTAGTACGCCAGACGCTCAATGCTTCCACACACACTGAATTTTTTTTCCGCTCATGTAGCGATTTTGCTACAGATTTTGATCAAGATTATCTTTTCGTCCAGGACAAAAATTTCCATCCACAAAATGTAGATGTGTTTAACGCAAAAAATAACGGGCAATTTTGAGTCAACTTTCACACTCGGTTTCCACAAGATAACTGAAGAAATATCTGTTGCATTAACTTAGAATGTATTCCGGATCCCTTTGCAAGTTTTCCAACAACTTTGAGGCAATTTAGATTTTTTGTTTTTTCCTCAATAAAAAAATACAAAGAGGTTAGGCCAAAAAAAAGTCTCCGGTTTCTGGTATGGAGCTTGCCAAAAAGTGGTGCGGCGGCGCGGCTTTTTTTTTTTTTTTTTACCTGATTTTTTTGGTTCAAATGCGGCTGATGACTGCAAATGGTGCCCGAGTAAACTTATGCAATATATGGAGTCCAGAAGGCCACATAAAGCTTATTCTCGACCATAACCCAATCTAAAAACACGTTAAAATTGTGCAGCAGCAGGATTCAAGTCAAACCAGTGAGTTTGGCGGTTTGAGACATCATGTTTCATAAAAAAAAATTTTTTTTCATTTGCCGACGCGCATGGCTACGGCGACGCGCGCATACCAAAACCGGAGACTTTTTTTTTTGGCCTTAGCCTCATATTTTTAATTCAATTTGGCAAACAACAAAAATTTTCTCCAAACAATTATGCAAACATCCTTGGAAAGTAGGAGAAGCTTCGATCAACATTCAATCGACCCATTTTGTTTTTTAAAAGGGAAAATACAACATTTGCAAATATCAAAATATAAACTACCAATCATTTGAAATACCTTGCTGGACTGTTAGTGAATGACAGTGTAAAGCATCCTGTAAAATCATGGCACCTGGTATACTGTCATTTTCAAGAAAAGTGGTATTTTGTATCAATTTCCAACGCTAATCGGCCGATCAGCGTTGGAAAAAAACTGCTTTTTTTCAAATACTGGCCCCAGTGACCATCGCACTTGTTTGCAATCGATTACACACCTATGAACGGGTACAAGCCAGCTAGACTGGTTCCCTGATCTTACAATTCCCCAATATATGTAAACTGCTCTGTTACTTCTTAAAAATGGAGTCAGGGAACCAGACTACAGGAAAATGATTGTTTTTCTTGGTTTTTTATAGCATTTCGAACCCAAAACCTCAAAAAAGTCAGTGTAACTATATTTGCTATATATTTCCGACCAGCCAATTCCATCCATTTCTGAAAATTACAGCAAAAGCAAATGATGTATATTCCCTTTAAATATCAACCACATATAACCTTATATGATAAGGAATTATTTTGTTTCCCCTTCTTTTCTTGCGCAGTTTATCAAACGAAAAGCAAACGATTTCTGATTCGCAATCTACCTGAAACGAAGCTGGACATTGTTCGTTGTGCAATTTTCTGAACGACATAGACACATTGGTTACGCAATGCATTCCAAAACGACGCAGATACGTCTTGAGACCATGATTATGTGCACCAAGTATAAAGCATGTTATCTTCTAGAAATAAAATCAAAAATATTTTGAGTGTTATTTTTAATAAGAATGTCTTTTATTTCAAGTCATTACCACTATCTACCACTATAGCTATAGTACGCGGTATGTATACATGCATTTTGAACAGTGCCCTCAATAGACAGGTAGCGTCTAAGCCCAACCCCCTCCACCCCAGCTTTTCAAACTTTCCAAGTTGGTGGCTCCGCAAATATGAACAAGAGATTGCCTCTGCTGGTCAAGAGGCCTACTGTAGCCTTTCCACAAGGTCATCCTGACAAGCGCCGGCAGTTAACCGAGGGACGAAACAGCGAGGCGTTTGAACGGCGACTTGACACACGTCGAGTGAGCTACAAGCGAGGTTTTTCCCAATCCTAGCTTCATTCCAATACCGGATCCAGCTCTATTGCCAGCCGCATGCCCGAACCGTTTACGGAACGAAGCCGGAGTTTGAGAACGCCGGTATGTCTCATGACCCTCGATGACTTTCGGTCGTTTTGTAAATATAGGCTTCGTGCCCGGCTTCGGAACAAGGCCATGTAAGGCCCCTAATCAGACAAGTGGCTTTGTCATTTACTTGTATGGTATGGTCCCACTGGTATGGGGGAGGGGAGGGGGAAGGGGGGGGGGAGCTGTGATCGTTCACTATCCCACCCCACCCCCATCGTCGCTACGTCATTGCTTCAGAGATTATTATAAATCGAGGTGGTTCGCAATACAGAATGGCAAACTCTGGTATGATTTGTCCGGATATCACCAGGGCTAGTTCAGGGTGAATCGTGCGCTTTATGCGGAGGCCACAAACTAGCAAATGTAGGAAGTCTGGTCGTTCCATACAAGCCTTTCTCGTTTAAATCACTTCATGCTTTATGGAAATGTGTCATTACTTTAGGTAGTGAACGTTTGCTTTTAGGTCCATCATCACCGGTCATACATCTAACATTTCTGGAAATGATTATTCGAACTGGGAGATATTCAAGTGTAAAAACCTTTTCCACATTTAGAAGGCCACGATTATACACGGGCCGTATATGATGCGTAAAGTTCATGGAAGTTTATTCAACTGTATTTTATTTCCTCAAAGTCCCAATCAATGAGCAAAGCCTACCTCAGGGCAAAACTACGGGACACGGGCATTTACCCCACCCCCTGTGGAAGCCGGCCCCAGCCCTCCCCCGCCCCATTTTGAAAACCTGAATTAAAACATTCACTGTAACTGTAAATAATACGTTTTATTTTGCATTTAGTGCAGCCTTTGAAAAAAAACAACCACCTCAGGTGCCCTACCCCAAGTTAAACCCAAGTTTCTCCGCTGGCTTGAGTACGATTTAATTCCTCATAATCCCGAATATATCCACACAATTTATAGACTGAAGCGCCAACTGTACATTGAATGAATCACGGCCGTGTATACGTCACTTGTCTATCCACCAATCACAGTTTGTCGGTGACAAGTTTGTGACGACAAGTCGGTGACCACAAGTGAGTGGTCTGTGACTGACAGATTGTGTGTGTCAATCATAATTCATATTTGGATGTGTCACCGACATCCATACAATATCCACCAATAAGAAGCGGCCATTTCAATCTCGGTGACTAGTTTTTTATGTGACTATATAGCCTCAACGACATTAACATTGCTTTCATATCATTAATATGAAGCGAGTCGGTGATGTGTGATTGACAGCGCACAGGAGCCATGCAATCACAATCCAGGTCCGAGTTTTTAGTCACTGCTCAGGAAATCGATGGCACTATTTAAGACATGTGGGGCCGTCCACCCTTCACAATCAACCACAGGTCACCTTCGGACGACAACCAGAGAGAGAACTGACTGCAAGAACAAGATTTTGCTCGGTGAGTGTTTGAAACAATCATTTTTCCTCTGAAGAAATTTGTTGTTTTTGCACAATGTGTTTGAATCAATGCGGGATTCAGATTTTGTTGAATGTTGCTGATTCAATGATTCTCCAAACAGCGAGCGCGGTGGTAGGCTTGATATTTTCCCGTCTTTGTGTGCTTGTGAAAATGTGGTAGCTTGAGGACTGAAAAAAAACCCAAGATTTTTATGAACAAATTGTTCTTTTTCATTTCACTATGACTCTGATACACGTCTGCTAACAGCAAAACCAGCGCGCTAATTCCGATCCAGAAGTTGTGCCTTTTCCCAACGACCACTTTGGAGTTGATAAAGTATTGCGATAATTTACAAATGTGTTTGAAATTAACTTGTTCAGACGGACTTTGTTTGTGCATAACATTCACTAAGCCCGTCTGAAAGAGTTAATTTCAAACACTTTTGTAAATTATCGAGCTATTTTATTTCAGCTCTTATTGTAAACAGTTGGTGCGGATGCAGACCACGGTTTTGCGAGTTCAAATTTCAAGGCAATAAAATGAGGAATTCCTGTCTGGCAATATTCCGCTACTACTTCCATTGTGCACTCTCAAAAACAAATTGTCCAAATACTTACTGGTTTCTTTACTTCTTGAACAAAAATCATTTGGATTCTTGTCGATATGGATAATACACTACGAAGTCACATTTATGGGCTTTTTTTATTTAGGTTCGACTGTTAGGTTGGACTGTTTTTCTGACCGCAGTTTTCGCAAGTATAAAACATCAAGTTCCCTGCTGTGATTCAGAACAGTAAAGATGTATTGATCATTCAAAATAATATTTCAGAGGAACTACAAATCGGTGTTTCACATTTTCGGTTTCCAAAAAAGTCTCTCAAAACCTGGACTCTTTATACCTGGCCAATATTTTTGGCATGATCAAGCACACACTCTTTTTTTTTGCCTCCTTTTTTTCCTATTGACTTTATCGTTTAAATTTCCAAACATGAAATCCTAGTGCAATGTACTCATATTATTTCCGGATATCACTCAAACTCAATCAGAATGAAAAGTTATCGGAAGTTGGTCACGGAAGAACGTATACAGGTATCCGGACATCTCAAAATGCCGGTCTTATATGTGTTATTATTTGTGGATATTCTCAGTGCCTTTGAACTCTGTTGTTCAACTGGCATTTTGCTATAGTTCACAGTGCGCCATTCCGGTTTCATCAAGTTACTTTTAAGCATTGCAGGATAAGTGTCACTGGTCAGAATAGACTAGAGGGCGCAAATACAAACGCACTGGATCATGATGATGCACACAGTTTTATACAAGTTCAATAGCTGGATGCATTTTGTAGATTCATGGATAGATTTGATTTTTGGAGAACGCATTTGAGATAAATAGTCAACCCAAA